GGATAGCGCGCTCGCTTGGAAAGCGTGGGGGGGAGGCGGGTTCGAGTCTCACCTGGGGTCAAGACTTTTGCCAATAACACTTGCGATAACCTTCGGGTGAACAGAGACGTTGAACGGGCGTTATTATGCTGTAACAACATCCTAAACTCGTAAAGTTTCGTGGTTTAACAAGACCTTACAGGCAAGGCTGCAGTAAAGGCCCCATATGTTCATAAAACTTTACAAATGGCCCGTTGTGTTGGATTAGGCCTCAATTGACCTCATGGGACTGGGTTATAAAAAATCAGAGAAAAATGGAGAACATTTGGCTAAGCTAACCTTCATATCTCTAAGAAGATACATTGCCAGAACATTAGCAATATGAACAGCATTACGTTCTGCAGCCGGAGCACGTAACATTAGGTATAAATACAATAAAATAGATCTGAAACAGTATGGGGGTGATGAATTGCGATCGAACAAAATTGCCAATGTCACATACAAAGACTATGTAGTGCGATTATACGCCGACAGCGACACGTACTCGATGATGATGCGAACTAGATTGAGGCCATAGTGAGGATAATAGAGACGTGAATCTATTCAGGCTTATTGCACTATGCAAACCTTGATGCAGCGCATGCAATAAATTAAACTCGTAACCAGTATGAAATTTGTTATGAAACATAACCCCATTTCTGGTTCTCCACGAACACATTAAAAAAAAGCATAACCAGAAGTAGAACTGCCGACGCATACGGCTAGTTAGCGCAGAGGGCTAGTTAGCCAAGGCTATTATACTAACCAGAACTGTGGTCTATACCAAGTTAAAATCACTTTACTCACTAGTTATGGATGCGTTCAGCCAGAATTCGGCAATGCTGAAGGCAAAGAAGACAGAATGGCCAGACCAGAGACCAAGAGAGGTAGAGGGAGAATATGTGCGCAAGTACAGAGATGCAGACAAAACCAATTGCTTCCGGCACTTCAGCAGTACGTATAGTACCTTTGCGATACCTGAACTCGCCTTCATTTGAGAAGAGCAGAAAATTAGAGTGTGCAATTCTATTCATGCTACTGAACCGTCTGAATGCGTACAAGTTTTATGAAAACAGCTTTGGGTACATCTAAGGCTTGAAGCACATTCCTTGATTACTCAGAAGGAGAAGGAATCCCTTTTGTGTGTACGATGAGCAGGTCTGCACCTGCACCTAGCGTATTCTTTCACCGCTCGAAGTTCGTTATAAGAACGCCACTGGTCTGTGACTATTTATGGCCACGCCTTGTTCAGTCTGGCTCCATCCCTAGTCAAGAGACGATTACATTGGAGTTTTATAATCTTGAATGAACATAAATTTATGTATCCTTTTTTTCGTGCCGCTGAAAGCTTCAAAATGGGACTGCTTATTTTCTGACGTTTCGTTTTAGCCATCGCCTTCAAAGAGCGCAAATGTTCCGAAAATTACCATCTGCATATTCCCGGTCGCGGAAAATGGGAAAGAACCACTCCATGAGGTCTTGAACTACTCACGAGCCCGCGCCGTCGAGAATCCCATCTCTGGCTTCTCACATGTCTTCTGCACTGTTCGATCCTTTGGCACCCACTGTCCCTTAGCTGCCTGCATACAAGGTTTCGCAACAGGGCCATCCAGAAAAAGTCATGTGGGAGGGGTGCCTCTTCCCGTGCAGCACTCGCGGCGCCAACATGGGAGGTGGGAAGGCTCGGCCTCGCCTTCGTATCTATTTCCAAAAAGGAGACTTAAAGCGCAGACGACCAGAATTGCCGAAGAATAGACGCCGAACGGATGCGAAGACGCTGGTGAGTGGTCCAACCAGGGCACGCCATCGTTGTGATGACCACAACGTGGGGAGGGGGTCGTATTTCGTCTGAGAAAGTTTTTTTTTGTTCTCTTGTTCCACGGACGCTATAATGGATGGTCGTATTCGTTGTTGGGATTGGGAGAGGGACTACCAGAGATGTATACACCTATTATTTCCGATAGTTGAACATGATAGTTAAATCCTGACGACCTCCCCCTCCGCCCCACCCCTACCCCCCCCCCGCTCGACGGAAAATTCTTGGCTGAAAACTGGAAATTTTTCGGAAAAAATGGAAAAAGTGGTAGGAAGTTGGGAAAATCTAGGAAAGTGGTAGGTAGCATGGGAAGGGGGTCGTATTTGAGGATGGAATTAGGGGGGGTCGTATTTTTCAGGAAATGATCACAACGCGATGGCGTGCCCTGGGTCCAATTCTCTCCCCTACCCCCCTCCCTCTCTCCCACACACACAAAGAATCCACAAGATAGGGAGAATCGTGGAATTGGAAAAGGAATGTGCAGGTCTTGACAAGAGCTTCGTTGAGGAGGGCATTCATGAGCTGCGGAACCGCATTCAAAGCAACCTTACCCCTGAAATTCGTACTGGGAGTGGGTGTGCCCCACTAAACCGTAGATTTGTTCAGAGGATCCAGAGGAGATATGGAAGGCAGCTCGCAATCATCATCCAAAGAGCAATCAGAGGATATAAATTCCACTTCAAAGGGCCACTTCGACCCACCATGTTCCCCTGGTCGGACAACCACATTAGTGGAAAAACCCAGGCGAGGCAAAACCTAGTTCCTGGGTTTACCAATCCACTAAGATTTTGTTCAGAACCGGCCTACTGCATTCACGAAGGGTAGCACAGCCAGAGAAACCGAGAAGAGTCACTCAGCAGCTTGAACTCCCGAGGTAGATGGTCGAAAAGATGTCGGGATCTCAATCCTATCCCCATTCCGTTCTGCTCGTCTCTTGAACTTGCCCTGCATCGCCATGCAAAGGCATAATCAAGGGATGAGATCGTATCGCCCCTTTTTCATTCTTAACCATCTAACCGTGCCTTTATACTGCTCCAAAGAGCTTTTAAGTGCATGCACCAACTCCTCCTTGTCCACGCTTCAGCACTCGCAACCCTCGATTCCCCTTATCGTTAACTGCTTTTCGTTCCTAGTAACGATGGATAAGAATAAGAACTCCAGCAGACCTGTTGCCGTTTCTGAAGATATTAAGGCCGCACTTCTACCCTGCGACTTAACTAGGAAAAGGTGGCAGCTGAACAGTCAGAAATATAACTACGTGGAACGAACATTAAGGCCGAAACTCCTCCTTCTGGAGCCGCGTTCGTACTTTACGACTCAAGACGATTTGGGAGGTTCGACTATTACGGACCCAGTGATTTGAGAGACTGCGCTACGGAAAGTATAGGTATCGATCTTGCGACTGCAGCGATTGTGCGATCTGGCGATTAAAGAGACCCGGCATTTTCGGTAATTGCGCGCCAAGAGTGGATAAGTAGTGGGCGATCGGATCATCGAATCGCCCAAGCGAATCGCTAGCAGCCGCGCTGTTCGATACCCTTTCCTTCAGCAAAACGCCAGGCCTTTCATATCGCAGGATTGCCCAACATCCGCATTCGCCAGATCAATACCTATACTTTCTTCATCGCGCATTCTCAATTATTCAAACTTGCAATCGCAGAGTATGAAAAGCGGCCTAATGTGTTCATGCATGATAAGAGCTCATTACTAGTGCAAGCTCGAACTAAAACGGACGCAAAGCAGTACTGCAGTATCTCATCACCGGATTAATAAGCGACTTTATGAGGTACTAAGATGAGTGGCTACAAGACACTTCAAATTAGAGAACTTCATAGGTTTTCTTTTGTCACGGATCAGCAGATATAAAAATCACATTAGTATAGGAAATCATTAGTGATAGCCTCCGCAAGAGACATAGTTAAAACATCACGTGTAAAACGAAAGAATAAAATCGAGCACAAAGTGAAATTATGTCTACACCAAAGATTATTGATTACTTCTGCAAAATAAAAAAGGAAAGTGCCTGTAGTTTGCGAAATGTGAGAGATAAGCTGAAAATGGAATGGGCACAGCTTCATGCATACACTACAAAGGCTTCGATGTAACGGTTGTTTTATGTCTTGATAAATAGTCTAAAACAAAACAACTGCGGATCTGCCAACCATCAGAAAACACGATGATCTGCGCCATTCCATTTGACGAGTGTTACCTGCAACTCAATACTAAAAGTACAAACCACAAATAGCCAAGCAATTATCTTTCAAAATTGGCAACTGAGGAGTTAAAAAGCAAGGCTAGGCAGCTTAAGATAGCGTAACGGCCTCGGATCGCGTTCAGACTTCGCAATCGCGCGACCACGACCAGGGACGCTCCATCGTCAAACGGTGCCCTGCATAATTCAAACTGGCACGGTGTGAACGTGGCCCAATTTGAATCCTGCCTTTGCGAAGGAGCACCGTTTGGCTGTGGAACGGTCGGTCAATGGTCAACCCAGTCGATCGATCCAATCGAGCGATTGCGAAGTCCGAACGCGGTTTCAAGAAGTTCTCTAAGCAGCGAGAAAAGAAAAACTACGATTCCGACCCTTGACCGAAATACCACTGGACTCTGATTCCTAAGGGCGCGCCTGCATGATCTTATCACCGTTATTCATGAAAACGCTTTATAAAAACAACAAAATACAACAATGACATAATAGTAACCGCATCAAATCTTCTCAGAGACGATGGCCTCTTTGATGAGCATCAAGGTGGGTACTTCTTCACCATCAACATCACGGTATTCAATAATGGCGACCTGTCCATCACCAGCACCTTCAGCCATTCGCTCTCCTGAAAAAATGGATAGAGCTTAAGTTGCAGTGAGACTCTTGCACGTATGCTCACCAATGAAGAACTGCAGGGTTTTCCAGCGCTTCTTGTCAAGAAGTGAGACCACCCAAGCTTGAATCTTCTTCTTGAAAGTGTCAATCTCGTCCTTTGATTTTCCCTCCTTCTCCATATAATCAACAACCTTCTTCATGAAACCCTTCACGTACGACTTAAACGTCGCTTGGTCCTCATAGCAGTTCATTTCCTAAAATTGAGTTGAAGCAGCAGACTAGGCATGACCCATAAATAAAACTGATAACTAATAATAAGTAACAGTAACAATTTGCACTCTACAGGGGGGCCAAAAAAAGTCACTTTTCTTCATTGACTTTCGAGGCGCTATAAGTTACACTTTATAAATTCTGATCGGACATTTCTACCACCATATTAAAGAGCATATTAAATACTATTATGATACTCCGCCACAGCCTTCTGGAGGAGCGCCATCGAGAGATTCTGCCACGCGACCGTGATTCGGTGCCTGAGTTCAGCGAGATCGTTGATTTCTCCGCCACTGTAGACCACCCTGTTGAGCTCCGCCCGAACCGGGTAATTGAGGGGGTTTAGGTCAGGTGACCTGCTTAGATATTCCACTTCTTCAGGTACTCAACGCCCTTCCATTCCAAGTAGGCAAGAGTTTTCCCAACGCCCTTTGATTCCATGTGGTGTCACCCAATCCTGTAGCAGTACAAAGTTTCCAAGAAGGTACGGGCGACGACATGTGGGAGGATATTCTTCACGAGTTGCTCAATGTAACCGCCAGCGCTCACCTTCAGTCCGGGGTCCACGAAGAAAATATTGGTCTTTCCATTCCAGGTACGTCCGGTCCATACCATCAACCCGCGCCTTGGCGACTGTGGTGAAGATGATGTCCTAGACCGTGGCGACGTTGACGGAGCTGCTCGATGATGGAGGTCTTCCAGATCGAGAGTACTGGTCTCCAGGTAGCTATCATGGGTGACTCCATACTAGAAGTTTCGCAGCTGTTTGGAGGTGACATGAATTCCAAAGGTCTTCTCCAGTCAGGCTGCGACTGGAGATGACTTCATATTTTGGTGTACATGAAGGTGATGGGCGAGAGCCAGCTCCTGCTTATCGAGGAACATCTTGGGTATCTTCCGCCCTGGTACTCACGTCCTCTGTCTGGGCAGCGAAAACTTTGCTGATATGTGACTCGGTCGAAGTGACTTTTTTTGCCCCCCCCCCCTGCATGTGCACATTATAACTAAGATTGCTGAAAAGAATGTGAATGAATAAAGCGGCACAATTTGCAAAAAATCCTCTAATAAGTGGGCGAATATGTGTAACATAGAGAAACAATGAAGAGTTAGTATAGATGGAATTCGTACTGTACAATGTAAGTGCACACTATGTTCGCGGCAAAAAGTGGCCGTGGCTGTCTGGGGCGGGGCGTTGGTGTCCACTGTGTGCTAATATTTTAACCACCTCGCCATCTACAATGAGAGACTAACCTACCACAAGCTTGTGATTGAGAACGATGTCGATTCCGCGCTCCACAACCTCCTCTGATCCCTCGTCACCATCTTCACCTTCGGCTGAAGGGTTGGCTCCTGGCAAACATATCTCTCCCTCCTTGCGAATAACGTGCCTTCCTTTGAACTCGTACACGAGGTCATCAACGAGCTTCATTGGGAACGAGTCCGATGACAACTCATCATCTGAAGGAATGGATTAATACGCAGCTGGATTACGTTCATACTTCGCGTCAGCATTCAGAGCGCACGCATAGTTTCTGAATAGGAAAGTGTACATATCGATCTAGCGTATACAGCGTTCACCAGGCAGTCGCCGAAAACGTTGCGTACCGTCCTAGTCGCTCAGAATGTTGACGCAAAGTATGAACGCAGTTCAAAAACCATCGCATTTCGCCTGTACCAGAGCGAAGAGCGGTCAACAAGCCACCGCTAACATCTTACACTCTGCAAATTGCTTTTCCACGGTTAGACTCGTCAAACAACAATTGCCCACACCGCAAAAGATGGCTGAATACCTCAAGAACGCAAAACGCGTCAATCGGCACCAGATCATCTTAAGTCAGTGCAGGCTGTTGTGCAACTCAAGGAACGTGGTAAGAAAAAAAAACAACTTCACGTAATCTCACCTGTGAAGACGTCCTTGAAGATCAGCATGATCGCAGGAGTTGCCCAAGCTAAAGTCTCAGTTGAAAATTAACCATTCAAAAAGCACAAACAACAGTGGCGATAAGAAGGTACTGTTCGGCACAACCGCCAGCTTCAAAGCACAGTGTAAACAAACAACAATTTATCGTCCACAACAAGCTATCATGCACCTCTTCACGGTAGAGTAAACAATAGTAAAGAGCGAATTACATGCACCTCTTCACGGTAGAGTAACAATAGTAAAGAGCGAATTACATGCACCTCTTCACGGTAGAGTAACAGAAGTAAAGAATGGATTAATCGAAAAGACCGAAACCAAGATCTTCATCCTCAGACTCTTCCTTTACCTCCTCCTTCTTGGTCTCAACAGCGGCTGCAGCTGGAGCGGTGGCAGCAGCAGCAGGGGCAGCCGCAGCTGCGAACTTGCTCGGATCAGCGAGATATTCTTTGAGCTGAGCAGCCTCCTTGAAGTTGACGTCGGTGACGGCGGCAATTCCGAGCATATTTTGTACTCCTCTTGCCAACGAATGAGCAACGGACACCATGGTCGGGTATTTGATAGCGAGCGAAACGGCGGCAACGTTGCGTACTCCAGCCAAGAAACGTTTGCGAAGCTCCTCTGTGGTCATGTCAAGCACCTCAGGAGTGTAGATGGTTCCATTATCATACACTTGGAGAACAACAAGACCGTATGAGAACGGGGTCACTCCAAGCATGTTAAGAAGAGCAGCCTCGGAAGCTCCCACCTTCTCGCCTTCCTTGATAAGGTGTACCTCATTCAGAATCTCAATGGTACCCCTAGCGATCTTTGTTGGAATTTGAAGAGCCTGGAAGAACGAGGTTTTCTCGGGACCCATACCGGTGTTTTGAGGCGGCAGCTTGACGTCACAAGGAGCAATTGCGCCAGCCTTGGCAGGAGCACCCTGCAAAAGGGAAATCATTAGGCATGATACAATAAAACAGTTTAGAAAAAGAAACACTGAAACATACTCTTCTGTTTTCCAGCAATTTGGCACGGATCTCTCCAAGATCTTCTTTTGTGAAAACAAATCCCACATTTTGGACGATGTAAGGAAGAAGCTTCTCGAGAGCCGGGTTCTTCGACAAATGACCGCGAATGGCTTTGCGGATCATGGTATTCTTTCCCATGAGGATCACGGCATGACCTTGAACATAACGAAAAATGACGTACCAGCTACAAAACTAGTAATCTAGAGCCCTCCGAATATCGCTGACAAAACATTGAAGGACAACTCTCCACAAGACGCTTACCTCTCATTGCTTGACGGATTTCCTGCATCTGCTTAGAACCGACATTGTCGACTCCGACGAGGAAGCACTTTGGATACTCGTCAAACAATTCAACAAGCTTCAGGAAATAGTTAGCCTTCCAGGTAGTTCTGTCTTCCCTAACCATCGTGGTGAATTAAGGATCGTGCTGAGACGTTTTAAAGACGAACTGAAATTGAAAACTCTACTAAGCCCATTCAAGAAATGGTGATAACACTGCGGTATGCAGCAAAGCTTATGATGGATAAGGATTTGCTGCCAGTCCTGTAAGTACAAGAAACAAGAAAATGAAACTTCTAAGCGTGGAAGCAAAAGACCTAAACAGCGGTAGATTCACTCCTTCGTGCGAAAAGTGGGCCGTAGATTTAGATGTTTTTGATGTATTGCACTAAAACGCATGGATTAGCAATCAAAGAAGGTGGAAGCAGGGACAGAAGGAGGGCTCAACCAACAAGACAAACTCGTCAATGATAACATGCAAGCGGGACCAACACCACAACTAGTGCCTAATGTAAAATCCCCCCCCCCATCTCCCTGAGCGAGGACGGAAATGAGCTCAAAGAGATAAGTTGCAAGAGAAAACGAACTGCGAAGAACGAACTACATAGCCTGGTAATTACTACGCCAGGGAAACGGCTGAGTACACAATGCAAACTGTCGATACGCAGTGTACATGTAATGCAGTCGATGCTCAATTGTGCCATGGCGGGCTTTTTAAAACTATATTTTTCGTTCTAATTAAATATTTTGAAAAATATCGAGAACTGAAGAAAATTTACATAAAAGTCAAAATTATTTGATGAAGAGAGACCTTTTTGGTTTAAACTTTCTTAAACACTCAGCTGAATACATTGAGACTATCTTATATTATTTGGTTTGTTTCTGAGTGTCTCACTAGTGCGTGAAATGTCCACGCTTTTGATTGTGTGAAGTGCTTTTTGATATCTTGCCATTTCATTGTCACTTATGTTTCCGTTTTCTCAGCAGGACAACAAAAAGGAGTTACGGTTTTCTTGATGCTTTCAAATCCTTTGTAAGTTATGCTTTTACTCATACGGTTTTCTCGTTTTCACTATATTTTTTGTACCGTGTGAACCGTGGTTCTTTAAAGGAACTTTTTATCCCATTCATGTTGAGAAGCGTTGTGGGGTTTCTGTTGGTTTAAAATTATCTCATTTGCGGGTTCTAGAAAACTTATTTTTTGGATCACGAGTATTGAAGCGTGCGGCTTCGTGACAGGACTGCTGTATGAGTGCTTTAATATGCTTCTTAGCCTTATAACGGTTCAAAACTTATCTTCTTTACCAATCTTACAATATTTTTTTCCGTTGGATATTTATAGCACCATTGAAATGATTTAAGTAAAAATTTGATCGCTCTAACCCCATGCTTGTTCCCAACTAACCTTGGCTAGCAGTTTGTGCTTTAGTTGTGGCTCGAAAGTTTATTTTTTTACATATTCTTCGACTTTCTTTCAATAACTTGTTTCCCTTTACAAGTATCGTTTACATTTTCTTCTAAAACAATAACGATTTGCCACTTTTTACGTTCAGTGCTGCGATGTTATTTGCACTGTTCGTTCAGCCCAGTGCTCCATCTCTTTTGTCTCTTTAGAGTGTAAGATGAACAGACAACCGGGCATACTTTTGAATTGCGATTGTGTTCTTTTCAGCCTGTTATGGACCTTAGCGAAAAGACGGCCATCAGTGGGAGTGAGGACGAAGAAGAACATGATTTGGGTTTTTCTGTGAGTCTTACCAATTAATCGCAAACGTTGCTTTCACAGCAGAACACTTCTCTTCTGTGATCAAGCATTTCTTCGTTCAGAAAGAGCTCGTAGACGAAATTCGGTCAACAAAACAGAGCAATCCAGGTGAATGTCATACGAAGTTACTGCCAGTAATTTGAAAACAGTTCCCGCGATCAGGTGATCTTTGAAATGTCTCTGTACCTTTGGCACCCAGGTCCACACTTCCATAGAGTGTAGCACTTCTGACTATCGAAAGAGTGATAGAAAGCGGACACAGACGTGTGAGGTTTGTGGGGTTTGCCCTTTTCAGTCTGCAAGAGAGCGACTTATACGGTGAATCACATGTATGCGTTCTGTTTCGTGCAGCGTCGTAAAACGATTTTACCTGGATCTCGTCGAAGAGAATATTAGTTTGTCAACTCTCTTACGAGCTCACGACGCTTCCATCTCTAATGAGGGCTCACATATCGGTTACTGGTTCATAATTGAACATCCACTGCTCATAACACTTGATCGCGGGAATTGTCTTAGGTAGAACTTCCCAACAGTAAGCTACCGTAAAACCTTGCCACATATTTGCTCATTCAGGAATGTTCGTTTCGGCATGGCAAGAGGATGACGAAGGTATTGTGGAAGGTGATCTTGGCGATGTAAAAGAAAAGTTCTTGAAGGAAGCTGAAAACGGGAACGTGGACGCTCTGAAGAACATGCTTCAGGATAATCCTCACCTTTTGTCAGTGCGTTTTAATCCTTCATGTACCATGACCGATGTTTATACTACATTATTTTGATTTAGTGTTCTGACGATGACGGGTACACAGCTTTACACCGAGCTGCATACAACAACCATCTGGACGCGGTTACGTTCTTGTTAGAATGCGGTTCTGACCCTGAAGCCAGGTATTCTTAGAGGTCTACTGATTGCTCCCTATGAGTTCTCCTCGAGAAAGAAATGCGACCTTCGACGGAAAACAGTGCTCGTTTTTATAGACTTTTGAGTGTCCTAGTCAAAAAGAAGGCAGTTTTTTCCTTTGGCTGGTAAACATGAAGAGTTTCAATTGCTTTGCCGATCCTAAGCGACTGTGTTCATTCATTCTTTCATTACAGGACGAATCAAGGCTGGACACCTCTTCACTCAGCTGCTAACTGGGGAAACTATGAAGTGATCGGTCGTTTGATTTCTCATGGTGTCGATGTGAACGCTCGTTCTAATGGAAATGTGACGGTGCGTAATTCCAACTTGAGCTTCACTTTTTCTCATTGATTGCTGCCTTTTTCAGGCCCTTCACCTAGCCATAAGCAGCCAATGTGAAAACGCCGAGAACGTCTTCCACAGTGTCCGGTATCTTCTTCAAGCTCCAGGTACCTGTTGTGTCCTGTTTTTGCTAGAAAGCATCTTGATTAAGGTTTGGAAAGGTTTTTCATATGATCTGTCGTTAGCGTTTTACGGTCGTCGTAGAAAAGCTAGATCAACGGTAGTCACTTTCCCACCAGAAGCTTTGTTGGAGCTAGCAAGCAACAAGTCTCTGTGTTGTTGTTCGTATAAGTTCCTTTCAACAAATTGCTGCTTCAGCGATAGGTGGAGGACAGCTAGGCCGGCATGGGCCTATCGGGCGCAAATGGGCCTAAAACCTGAGCGCCCTGCGTTTTGCTTGCTGTTTTTCAACTTTTAAAAGCGGTATAGCCTCTGACGTTGCCTGCTTGACCATCGTGCACGGTTATGAGAACCTAGCCTTAGTTTATCGCGGAACGTGCCTTTAAGCCCTTTCCGCGGATTCTTCAGTAGCTCGATTCTCCTGATTCCGCTGTCCTTCCTAGAATGCTAGGTGGGCGGGGATTAAAAAACAGTTCCTATCTACTCTTAACCGATTCTTCCAGTCCAGCAATTCTCTGAATCCCCAAATCAGTAGGCACATTTCCTTTACGCCGATTCCATAGTGATGAGCATGAGCGGCTACGCCGCAATGGCAGGGATGAAGCGCCGCCGTTTCATGAGCGTGGGGTTGATTGCCCCTTGCGGGGTGCCCTTCATGCATTCTCAGTCACTCTTCCGGACCCTTATACACGAACTAAGGCCGCATTCATAGCTTGCGACCATGAAGAAATGCAGAAATGAAGAAATGCGGAATCTGCGGAAATGACGAAAAGCATTACATACGTATCGATTTGAAGAAGCAGAAATGCCGAAAGTGAAGAAGTGCGGAATCTGCAGAAATGCCGAAAGTGCAGAAGTGCGGAATCTGCAGAAATGACGAAAAGCAATAGATACGTATCGATTTGAAGAAATGCAGAAATGCCGAAAGTGAAGAAGTGCGGAATCTGCAGAAATGCAGAAAGTGCGGAAAATCGATACGTATCGGTTGCTTTTCGTCATTTCTGCAGATTCCGCACTTCTGCAGTTTCCGCATTTCTGCATTTCTTCACTTCTGCAGTTTCGGCATTTCTGCATTTCTTCAAATCGATACGTATGTAATGCTTTTCGTCATTTCTGCACTTTCCGCACTTCTGCAGTTTCCGCATTTCTGCATTTCTTCAAATCGATATGTATATAATGCTTTTCGTCATTTCCGCAGATTCCGCATTTCTTCATTTCTGCATTTCTTCATGGTCGCAAGCTATGAACGCCTCCTAATGCAGAACGCTCGCCATTGTACGAGTCGCTCGCCCCCCCCCCCTGGTAGCCTTGGTCTAAATTTACTGTTTGGTCCCTCAGCGTTGAACTGTTTTGCCAGAACGCATATTTTTGATTGATTTGTAAACCTAAAAATTTTTCAAGGCGCTGAAGTCTTTTCAGGTATAGACGTGGGCGTACCAAGCGGTGCCGGTGATACTCCCGTGGAACTTGCTCGACGAACATCAGCCATGGTTCACATGCTTTTAACTGATCATTTAAACCGGTGATGGAACATTACTTTTGTAAAACTTGGCCTTTTTTACTTACTTGGTGTACTTTCCCCTATTCCACCTTATTGTCAGTTCATTGCCACTTTTTATATTGTACAATATTAAAATCTCGCGTCAAGTTTTACGATCATGTTTGTAATTGTAAACTAACACTGAAATGTATGCAATGATAAAATATTCATCGGTGCTCAGGCTTCCATGGATCTTCAAAGAGTTATAAATCCTGGATACATAGTAATTGAACTGGTTTGCTTTTGTTGTATGGATGACCCAAAGGAATCAGTCAGTTTTCAGTAGTATAGGTTTACTAGCAAAGAAATTTCATGTCGCTTCTTGATCCATATGTGTCGTCAGCTTGCTAGATGTTGTGATTTAGTTAAAAATTATGGAGGTCGCGTATTTGTGGTCAGTTTCCTTTACTGCGTCTTTGCTCAGCATTTGTGGCTCATCTGTTTATTTTGTTTGCAAAAAAAAACCGAAGCTTCTCCTGAGAAGCCGTACCGGGGAAGAGAGGTGTTTTAGCGAAAGGAAAAGTATAGGTATCGATCTAGCGTTTTGGGTGAAAAGGGAAGTGTAGGTATTGGTCTAGCGTTTCTCCCAAAACGATAGGTCGATGAACGTACTTCCGTTTTGCCCAAACGCTCAAAACGCCGGAGGAAAGTATTAACGGAGCCTGATGCATTTAGTGTATCGAGTGGTGAAGATGTTCGTGTTTCAAGGAATGTCCTTGATAACCTGCACTGCCCCTGTTCTTACTTTCGAGTTCTTGAGCGCTCGTTCTGGGGACCGTTTAATTTGGCGCATTCCATACATTCAATCCACTATCCCATTTTTTTTCAAATATTGTTCTTCTGCTGACAATCGCGGGCACCGACCCAAAGCAAGTTCACTGTTAGGCTTAGTTCATGTTTTGCGGCACGGGAGGAAAATGGGCGTTAACGTAGTTGGAGAGGGGCCTCGCGGCGAGCGATGACTCATGCTCTTCTGCTCCCTCCTCGGCAAAATAGAAGTAATTTCGTGTTTAGGACATGAATATAACTTCGCCCTAGCTATATTCAAAAGTTAAAACAGTTAACACTGAAAAGTGCAAAGAAACAGTTTTAGGCTGCAAGGTTCTTGCCTAAACTACAAAATTTTGTTGCATGTTTGTCGTTGACTGTTATTGTTGACTACAAAAAATCAAATTTTTAGCTTCTGTGGAATTCTTCAGCAAGTTCCCGGTGAATCTTGTTTGTTTTATTCTGATTTGGCTGCTAGATTCGCGTTTCAAGTATGCCGATGAGTGAAGAGCCGATGAGTCATCACTCGCCGCGAGCCGCGTGGCCCCTCCCTAACTACGTTAGCGCCGGGAAAATGTTCGCCAAAGAAGGTGAACCGTCTACTCCGTTCACGAGGATTTCGAAGATAAGTATGTCTAGAGGGTGGGGGGTAGACATCGATCGATATTCGTGTGAGTCTTTACGCACATTCCTAATTACCCATTTCGCAGTGTGTGGACGCAGCCTTATCAAGTGCGGCTTAACGTTTCTACGATGGCTGTTAACCTGTTTAATAGATACCGCTGGTCGTTTGATGGTTGTGCTACCACTTACCAAGAGTTCTTGGGAGAGTCATCTCTGCTGACGTGTTTCTAGTTCTTTTCCTCTTCGTTTTTCCCCCTTCAGCACCTTAACTAACTTTCTTACGATTGAAAAGTTGAGTTTTTTAATTAACTTTCTCACTTGAAAGGTTGAGTTTTTTTGTGCCGATTAGAGCGTTTAAAGTAGATCAGAGTGTAGCGATTTCTGGGTATGGGACAGACGGAAAAGGCTTCCATTTTTCTCTCGGAAGTCAGATGCTTTCAAACACTTTGAGTTTCCTAAAGAATCTTCGTCTTAGGTTTTCATGTTCATATCCGTATTTTACGTTGCGAAGCTTTCCTGTTATACGACGGAACAAGCTGAACATTGTGATCTTGCTTTTTATTTCGGTGTATTTATTGCTATTGAAGTATTAGTGAACTTTGTGTTGTTTCAGTACTACTCACGGTATTACTCTTAGTCGTTTTGTGATTTTGTTTTCTTTGTTGTAGGTTAAACTACGACTTTTCAGACATAACTGCGTATCTTACTGGCAACGACAAGCATGTGTTGCTGGATTGCGCAGGAGTGCTTTAAACATTGGTATGTTCTTATAATCTTTTTGAATAATTATATTAAATGAGACTGTAGCTGCCTCTGATTTTCAACACTGAACTGCCAAGGGTGGCTTCTTTTTAGCAATAGCTGATCTTGGTACCCACCACTTTATTACAAGCGGGTGGTCATGAACTAATAGATGCTCGTTTTGTCGTATTTTTGATTAGTACCGGCTCTCGTATTAGGTTGAAAGGAAAGTCCTGTCAGTGTTTTTTGAAAAGCCTACACTTTTCGGTTCTTGCTGCTCGAACATGGCGTGATATGCCATGCTTGTAGTTCTGGGAGCTTTCCTGCAAGAGTTGTGTGAGGGACCACCCGCAGTCTTGCGACAAAACTCGGATGTACCTAACTGACAGTCGTCAACCGCCCTTGACTACCGAAAAGTACTGGCTCGATGGATCACTCATACCTTGACCGATGGCACGCTGCGCACCCGGGTACCCCTTGGTCAGTCTCCCCTTCTCCGCCCTCGTCAAAAGGTGTTTCTGGGAGACTGCTTAGTGGAGATGACAGATGGGTCCTCTGTGATTTCAACCCACACAGTACCGTGTCTCTCTCAAGGAGAAGATCCATTCTAGCAGTCCAAACCGGGCATGTATTCCGAGAAGGTTCTCCTGTGCTGCTCCTGGGACGCGAGGGGGATGCTGCAGAACGAGCTGCCCTATAAGAGC